TAAGCACCTATTGGAGCAAAGGATTGTTACCCCCGAGCAGCAGAAGTTCGTGTCTAGACTCATGGGGTTTGACTTCGAGATAATCTATCGACCAAGTCGACAGAACGCGGTAGCCGACGCACTATCCCGACGAACAGATGTGGCCGAATTGAGTGCTATCACTGGGCCTACTTGGGCCATTTGGGAAGAGATCAGGAAGGCGCAAGACGAGGATACCCATTGCCAGGAGCTGCGCCAATCGATAGAAGCTGGTAAGATGACTGCTATCGATTACGAGTTGCATAATGATCTAGTTCTACACCGAGGCCGAGTCTATGTCCCCGATAGTGGGCAGTTGCGTGAGTAGATATTGCAGCACTTCCATGACTCTAAGGTTGGAGGCCACTCGGGTATCTATCGCACGTGGATGAGAATAGCCAACACTTTTTTCTGGCCGGGACAGCAAGGTACCGTCCGAGACTACATAGCGCGATGCGATGAATGTCAGCGTACTAAGTCGGACTCGCGATGGCCAAGTGGGCTATTACAACCACTACCAGTACCCGAGGCAATTTGGGAAGACATCACCATGGATTTCATCGAGGGGCTACCAAATTCTAATGGATTTGACGGTGTTATGGTTGTGGTGGATCGTCTCACGAAGTATGCTAACTTCATACCTATTACCCATCCCTACACCGCGAAGTCGATTGCCAGGTTATTCGTGGAATACGTAATGAAACTGCATGGGGCACCTCGGTCCATAGTCTCTGATCGAGACCGAATTTTTATGAGCAGCTTTTGGTCTGAATTCTTCAAGTTGCAAGGGACTAAATTGTCTATGAGCTCAGCCTACCACCCACAGACAGACGGACAAACGAAGGTAACCAATCGAACCCTTGAGCAGTATTTGAGGTGCTACGTCCATCAGTTCCCAAAGCGGTGGGAAAACTTTTTACCATGGGCTGAATATTGGTACAACACCACTTACCACGAGTCGACCAAGATGACGTCATTCGAGTTGGTCTATGGGCGAAAACCCCCAACATTGATCAATTATTCAGAGGGGAGTACAGTCAACGATGAGGTTGGGCGAGAACTAGAGGAACGAGATTTGATGTTACGTGAGCTGAAAAGAAATCTCGAAGGCTCAATCAATCGAGCCAAAGCCTTCGCAGATGGAAAAAGGCGAGAGGAAAATTTTGTACCCGGAGAGTACGTCTATCTCAAGCTACGACCATTCAGACAGCGCACAACAGCACAGAGGGCTACAACTAAGCTGGGCGTCCGTTATTATGGGCCATATCAGATTCTGAAACGCATTGGTCAAGTGGCTTATCGTCTGGAGCTACCAAAAAGTTTGCAGATCCACCCGGTTATACATGTTTCACAGCTCAAAAGAAGTCTGGGAGAAGCACAAAAGTATTGTGAGGAGCTACCAGCAACTGCAACCGATGGAAGGGCCATAATACGTCCAAGACGAGCGATCAAGTACCGAAAGGTAAAAAGAGCAGGGCGTTACCGTTGGGAAGTGCTAGTTGACTGGGAAGAGTTGCCATCTGAAGAAGCCACGTGGGAAGATCTTGATGAGATGCGCGATCAGTTCCCGAATATCATCCTTGAGGACAAGGATTCACTTGAAGGGGACGGGAATGATGCGGAAGTGGCT